TATGAAAAAAAAAAATTGATGTGTGAAGAATCAAGTGTTTATGCAAAAACCCAAAAAATGTAATACTTGATCCAAATTTGTGAAAAAAAAAAGTGATGTGAAACTTGATCAAATTTATTGTTATGTGAAGACTTGAACCGAATTTGTAAAAAAAAAGAAAAAGAAGAAACAGAATAACAATTGAGCGAAGAACTAAATTATTTATGCAAAGAAAAGAGAAAGTGATGTGATACATGAAGACTTGATCTGAATTTTGAAAAAAAAAGAAGAGACAAAATAAATATTGAGTGACGAACTAAATTATTCATACAAATAAAAAAAAACAATGTAATACTTGACCTAATTTATTGTTACGTGGTGACCTGATCCGAATTTGTGGAAAAAAAAAAAGAAACAGAATTAATATTGAGTGAAGAACCAAATTATTTATGAAAAAAAAAAAAAAAGCAATGTGATACTTGACCTAATTTATCGTTATGAGATGACCTGATCTGAATCTGTGAAGAAACAGAATAACAATTAAGCGATGATCCAAATTATTTATACAAAGAAAAAAAGCAATGCGATACTTGACCAAATTTATCATTATTATATTGAGTGATGAACCAAATTATTTATACAGAGAAAAAAAAAGCAATGCGATAATTGACTAAATTTATCATTACGTGAAGACTTGATTCAAATTTATGAAAAAAAAAAGAAACAAAAATATTAAGCAAAGAACTAAATTGTTTATGCAAAGAAAAAAGCAATGCGATACTTACCCAAATTTATTATTATGCGAAGACTTGATCTGAATTTGTGGAAAAAAAAAAGAAGAGGCAGAATTAATATTGAGCGAAGAGCCAAATTATTTATGTAAATTAAAAAAAAAAGATGTGATATTGATCTAATTTATTATTACTTGATGACCTGATCTGAATCTGTAAAAAAAAAAGATGAAACAGAATAACAATTGAGCGAAGAACTAAATTATTTATGCAAAGAAAAAAAAGCAATGTGATACTTGACCAAATTTATCATTAAGTGTGAAGACCTTATCTGAATTTGTAAAAAAAAAAGAAGAGACAGAATTAATATTGAGTGAAGAACCAAATTATTTATCAAAGAAAAAAAAAAACAATGTGATACTTGACCAAATTTATTGTTATGCGAAGACTTGATCTGAATTTAGAAAAAAAAGAAGAGACAGAATAAATATTGAGCTAAGAACCAAATTATTTTATACAAATAAAAAAAAAGTAATATGAAACTTGACCTAATTTACCAGTATACAAAGGTCTGATACAAATTTATAAGAAAAAAATTGATGTGTGAAGAATCAAGTGTTTATGCAAAAACCCAAAAAATGTAATACTTGACCTAATTTATTGCTACGCAAAGACCTGATCTAAATTTATGAGAAAAAAAAAAAAGGATGAAGGTAAATTAGTATTGAATGAAGAATCAAATGTTTATAAAAAAAGAGTGAACAATGAAGTGTTTGTGCGAAAAAAAACAAAAAGGCAATATGATATTTGACCTAATTTACTCATACGCGCAAAGACCTGATCCAAATTTATAAGATAAGCGAAGAATCAAGTGTTTATGCAAAAAAAAGGAAAGTGATGTGATACTTAACCTAATTTATCATTACATGAAGACCTGATCCAAATTTATGAGAAAAAAATTGATGGGTGAAAAATGAAGTGTTTATGCAAAAAACCCCCCCAAAAAAGCAATTGAGCGAAGAATCAAATATTTATAAAAAAAAAAAAAAAGATGTATACTTAGCCTAATTTATTGTTATGCGAAGACTTAATCCAAATTTATGAGAAAAAATAATTAATAAGTAAAGAATCAAGTGTTTATACAAAAAAAAATAAAGCAATGCATACTTAGCCTAATTTATCATTATGCAAAGACCTGATCCAAATTTATAAAAAAAATAATTGATGAGTGAAGAATCAAGTGTTTATGCAAAAAAAAATAAAGTGATGCATACTTAGCCTAATTTATCGTTACATGAAGACCTGATCCAAATTTATGAGAATAAAAGAATTAGCATTGAAATAATGCTAATTTTAAATCTTGCATATATCCCAATTAATAAAGTACATTCATCTCTTGTCTTAATTTAGAATGTAATAAAATTATATACTTATTAATATAACTTTAAAAAAGAAAAAAAAACCCCAATACAATATAGTAGTATAACTTTAATACTATCAGATTTTTTAATACTTTGAGTGCAAATTGCAAATTTTTTTTTTCTTTAAAAAAAAAATTTTTTTTTAGAATATATAGTAGCCAATAATATCAGGTTCTTTTAATATATTAATTAAACTTTATTTTTATATATTTCATACTTACCTTATATTACATAATAGTAATAATCGAATGACTTGACTTTGACTATTAACCAGTTCGTCATATATACCTATATTTACGTAATAAATACGATCCTAATATTATTCTTAATACATATAGAAATTAATGTCCAAATAAAGTTTTCTATTACAAAAACTTCGATATTCATATGGAACACTTTATTTAACAAATCATTAATTTTTCAATATCACTAAATAGAGTCAAACGACAAGCTGTTATAAAATCAGGTAATAAAGATGATCCTAATGTTACTCTTTTTCTTAATACATATCGAAATTAACATCCAAATAAAGTAAGTTTTCTATTACAAAAGCTTCGAAATTCATATAAAACACTTTATTTAGCAAATTATTTTCAATATCACTAAATAGAGTTAAATGGCAAGCTGTTAAAAATCAGATAATAAAGTAAAAAAGTTATAATAATATCATCTGGTAATGTCTATATTAAGTAAAAGTTTATGCAAAGAGTATCTAACTGTGATATTTAATAAAATAAGGAAAAAATAATCCCCTAGAATCATATTTTATTGCATGTCACCTAATAAGGTGAAATTACAGGAATTTTTATGCTTTTTTGAGGTCCATAATTTATGTTGATGGTTACGTGAGTCAAGTTTTATGATTAATAAATTTATAAAATTTATATATATATCTTTTTTTTTTTAATTTTGTGCTAATTATATTTCTTTTAATTTCTTTACATAACTTATATACAGTATAAAATGAATAATGTTATTTGTGAAGTTGTTCCTTCAGTTCACAGCAAAGATAAAATTAATATTAATGGATTTCTAATGAATAAAGATAAAAGTCGCAAAAATACATTCTACTAGTATTGTGAAAAATGGGACACACTTAAGTGTAATAGGAGAGCCATAACTCAATTAATGAATAATCAACATTATCTTAAGAATGCATCAGACCATAATCATTTAGCTGATGCGAGCAGACTAGAAGTTGTAAAGACAATCACCAAGATCAAGGAACAAGCACAACGAATAAATGATAAGCCAGCCCAGATTATGCAAACAGCGATCACTAACAGCTCTCAATACATATATTCATATCTTCTATTAACCAACACCCTTAGGAAAACTATTCAAAGGATTCATCATCTTGACCTTCTTACAGAACCAGGATCTTTAGAGAGTCTTATTATTCCTGAGTATCTAAGAAAACTTTAGATAGAGCAGACTTCTTAATTAATGATACTACTATTGATCATAATAGAATGCTTATTTTTACGACTTCTAATAATATTTATTATCTAAATCAATCCCATACTGGATTATGGATGGGACTTTTAAAACCGTTCCTATTATATTTAAGCAATTATATACTATTTACGGTGTGTTTTTTTTTATTAAAACAAAAAAATTAATAAATTAATAAAAAAAATAATAAATTAAAAAAAAAAAAATTAATGAAAATTAAAAAAAAATTAAATTAATAATAAAATTAAAAAATAATTTAATTTAATTTTTAATTTTTAAATTTTTTTTTTTAATCTTTATTTATAAATAGTCTATTTTAGGGTGTGTTGGCAGGAGAGATAATTCTAGAGTTATGCCTCTAGTATTTTGTTTAATAACTAATAAGTCAGAAGAATCATATAGAAGATTATTTTAAAAACTAATAGATTTTGAAGAAGAGTATAATATTGATTTACAGCCTCAAATAGTTTTAACAGATTTTGAGAGTGCTGCTATAAATGCCGTTCAATTAGAGTTCAATGATGCCCAAAATAAGGGGTGCTACTTTCATCTAGCTCAAAGCATTTATCATAAAGTTCAAAACTGCAGGCTTTCTTCACGTTATAGTACTGATGAACTCTTTAGTTTACTAATAAGGCATATTCCTGCTCTCGCATTTTTGCCGTATAATGAAATACCAGGTGTGTTCAACAAATTAAATTCTTTTATTCCATCTGAAGCCCATGAGGTTGTGTAATACTTCAAGGAGTATTATATACACAGAAAAATTAAGCATACATATAGGTAGATTGTGTTACAATTTTACATTTTTTTTTGTTTTTTAATCTTGATCTGAGGATATCACTTGACACGATACAATTTTATGTTTTATGTGATTTTACTTACTGCAGAGTAAAAATATGTAAGTAAATATTTAGGTTGTCATTGTAGCGGTCCGCTACAGTAATAACATAAGTATTTACTCACATGTTTTTATTTTGTAATACCCATTTACTTATTTAACATAATTACAAAATTACAATAACTTACTATAATTACAATTTATATATAGGAATAGTAATGTGATTAGATCTGAACCATTATTTCCTTCTAAATTCTGGTCAGTGGCCAATAATGTCAAATTCGTATACCCTAGAACTCAGAATTCAGGCGAGACGTGGCACAGGCAGTGGGAGACATTAGTAAGCTCTGCTCACGTTGATGTTTTCAGAATAATCAAAAAACTACAAAAAGAACAGAACCAAATTGAGCTCAATATTGAAGCAATCTTAAAAGATGCGCCAAGACTAGCACAAAGGTGACAAACTATTGAACGCGAAAAATGCATTTAATCAATATTTAATGATCATGATAATAGAACACTCATGGAATTCCTGTGTGGGATTGCCCATAATATTTCTTTGTGGAATTTCTTTTTTTTAATTCTACCCTTTTTTTTTTCATATAATTTGTTATTAGGTTTTTTTTTCATTGTTTATTATTTTATTTTATCATTTTATTCTATTCATTATGATTTTACATAAGTAAAAATTTTATTTTTACTATTTGTATTCTTACTGGTTATTAAAGATATACGTATATACTATATTAGCCAAAATACATATATTGCACTTGATTAAACTTATTTTATAACTTATTAGGGTGTGCAATGATAATATGGTATTAAGCTCGAATTTGTTAAAGATTAATTTTAGCATATGAATGTAAAATAATACCCTACCTACTTTTTGTGTTGCATAACCTTATAGTAATAAAATAAATTTTACTCATTTATTTTTCCTTAAAATAAAATCAATAAATACCATTTTCTCTAATTTATTATGATAAAATTAATTAACCAGTAACAATAAATAAAATAATTTATATAAAATCTTCTAACATAATTTAAACAATGTAAAATAATAACTAAAATCTACTTGTGAATAACTATAAAATTTTAATTCTTCGCTTGTAGCTGTTCTCATAAATTCAGGGACAACTAATAAAAATTGATGCCGACTTTGATAAGTTTTTTTTATCGCCCGATAAAAAAAAGCTTATCGAAAGCAGCAACAATATTTTATCAGTTGTACCAGAATTTATAGAATAGCTGTAATACTAATTCTGTTTTTTTTTTTAAAAAATTCAGATTAGTTCTTTGTGTACTGGTAAATTAGGTAGTGGAAATAACATAATTATGTTATTTCCACTTAGTCTAGGTTATTCCCTCTTAGGTATAAAGAAATGCGTCACCATCATCAGTGTTGTAATGACAGAAATACATCACCATCGTCAGAGATATATTAGTATTCACTCCATCATTCGAGTATCTAAGTGTGACGATGTGAACACAAATATGTCATCATATTTTTTATAGATCATAAGTATCTAAGTGTGATGACAAACTCGTGAACCAATCATCACTCCAATGATGACATAAGCGTGAATCATTCGTCACTCGAATAATGGAGTGAATACTAATATATCTCTGACGACGGTGACACATTTCTGTTGTCACAACACTGATGACAGTGACGCATTTCTGTTGTCATACCTGAGAGGGAATAACCTAGACTAAGTGGAAATAACATAATTATATTATTTCCACTTAGATCAAGTATCATATTGCTTTTTTTTTCTTTGAATAAATAATTTGATTTTTCGCTCAATATTAATTCTGTCTCTTCTTTTTTTTTTACAAATTCTGATTAGGTCTTCGCATACCAGTAAATTAGATCAAGTATCACATCATTTTTTTTCTTTGCATAAATAATTTGGTTCTTTGTTCAATATTAATTCTATCCTTTTTTTTTTATAAATTCAGATCAAGTCTTCGTATACCAATAAATTAGGTCAAGTATCGCATTACTTTTTTTTTCTTTGCATAAATAATTTGGTTCATCGCTCAATATAATTCATTCTCTTCCTTTTTTTTCACAAATTCGAATCAGGTCTTCGCGTACAAGTAAATTAGGTCAAGTATCACATTGCTTTTTTTTTCTTTGCATAAATAATTTGGCTCTTCGCTCAATATTAATTCTGCCTCTTCTTTTTTTTTCCACAAATTTGGATCAAGTCTTCGTATAACAATAAATTTGGTCAAGTATCACATTGCCTTTTTTCTATGCATAAATAATTTGGTTCTTCGCTCAATTATTATTCTGTTTCTTTTTTTTTTTCACAAATTCGGATCAGGTCATCGTGTAATGATAAATTAAATCAAGTATCACATCACTTTTTTTTTTATTTGTATAAATAATTTGGTTCTTCACTTAATATTAATTCTGTCTCTTCTTTTTTTTTCACAAATTCGCTTCAGGTCTTCGCATAATGATAAATTTGGTCAAGTATCACATTGCTTTTTTTTTTTTCATAAATAATTTGGTTCTTCGCTCAATATTAATTCTGTCTCTTTTTTCACTAATTCAGATCAGGTCTTCGCATAACGATAATTTGGCCAAGTATCACATTGCATTTTTTCTTTACATAAATAATTTTGTTCTTCGCTCAACATTTATTTTGACTCCTTTTTTTTTTACAAATTTGAATCGAGTCTTCACGTATTGATAAATTTGATCAAGTATCACATCATTTTTTCTTTTTTTTGAAAAAATAATTTGGTTTTTATTCACGTAACAATAAATTTAGTCAAATATTGCATTGCTTTTTTTTCTTTGCATAAATAATTTGGTTTTTCGCTCAATTGTTATTTTGTTTTTTTTTTTTTTTTCACAAATTCAGATCAGGTCATCGCGTAATGATAAATTAGATCAAGAATCACATCGCTTTTTTTTTTTATTTGCATAAATAATTTGGTTCTTCACTTAATATTAATTCTGTCTCTTCTTTTTTTTTTACAAATTCGAATCAGGTCTTCGCATACCAATAAATTAGGTCAAATATCGCATTGCTTTTTTTTCTTTGCATAAATAATTTGGTTCATCACTCAATTTAATTCAGTCTCTTTTTTATTTCACAAATTTGGATCAAGTCTTCACTTTTTTTTTATTTGCATAAATAATTTGGTTCTTCACTCAATATTAATTCTGTCTCTTTTTTTTTTCATAAATTCAGATCAGGTCATCACGTAATGATAAATTAGGTCAAATATCATATCGTTTTTTCTTTTCTTTGCATAAATAATTTGGTTTTTCGCTCAATTATTATTCTGTTTCTTCTTTTTTTTTCCACAGATTCAGATCAGATCATTGCATAATGATAAATTAGAGTCAATTATTACATCACTTTTTTTTTATTTGCATAAATATTTGGTTTTTCACTCAATATTAATTCTGTCTCTTCTTTTTTTTTCACAAATTCAGATCAAGTTTTTGCGTATCAGTAAATTAGATAAGTATCACATCACTTTTTTTTTTCTTTGCATAATTAATTCAGTTCTTTGCTTAATAGTTTCTTCTTTTTCTTTTTTTTTATAAATTCGGATCAAGTCCTCACATAACGATAAATTTGATCAAGTTTCACATCACTTTTTTTTTTCCTTTGCATAAATAATTTGGTTCTTTGCTCAAACTAATCTTTTATTTGAATTGCACTTTTCTTACGTGATGATAGGCTATCTATTAGACAAATTTGTTAGTAAATCATATTATCAGTGAAATGTACTGTTGGTAAATTGTATTATCAGTGAATTATACTGTTAGTGAATCGTATTATTAGTGAATCATACTGTCAGTAAAATGAGCTTGTCGATGAATTGATTTTGTTGGTAAAAGGTATTTCGGTAAATTTATTGTTGGTAAAATGAGATTGTCAGTAAAATGAACTTGTCTGTGAACTAATTGTCAGTGAAATGGGTGTCTTTAAAATAAGCTTGTTAGTGAAATGATTGTTTACGAAGTGGCATATCTGTGAGTTGAGTGTCAGTGAAATAATACAAATCCAAAAATTTTATATAAACATGGTATCACTGAGATTACAGATTTTAGAACCCAACTGATTGATGATAATTATTACTGTAATGCAGACTTATTTTTTAAAATCATTGTCTGTGGGATTCAAACTTTGAACCTGCTATTTAGTTAGATGATGACTAGACTACTTCACTAATCCACCACACCCTATAGAATTAAACGATTATAAAGAAAATAAATTTTAGATATAATTTTATAATCTAAAATTATTTTTTTAAAATTTTAATAGTTGTACTTGCCATTAAATTTCAAAGTAGAAAAACTTTAGAACTTGTTATAAAAAAATAAGATTTAAATATTTTTTGAAAGATATTTCGAATTAAAAGTTTTAAAAAAATATAATCTTGAAATTTTTATAAAATTATAATTAATATTATTAAAATTAGTAATAAAAAAGCAAAAAATAAAATATAAAAATATATATATATATATATAATTATAATTATTTTTTACCTCTTTGTAAACTTGTATATTTAAAATTATATAGACTTATTTTTTATATTATAAAATTATTTACTTTTTTTTTTCAGTATTAAAGGTGATCTCTTTGGCTATAACTTTTTATTAGAAATTAAGTTTCAGTTACAATGAAGATACAACTAGCCATATATACAACTTTTGGTTATTTATTTAAGTAGTTTGCCTATTTTTGAGTTTCTATACTAGCTGCTATACCTGCAATTTAACTAGGAGATTATCTATTTAAACTCTCTAGTTTTTACAAACAAGAGTATGACTAGCTACATGTACAACTTTTAGTTGCCTATTTAAGTAGTTCTCCTTAGGTTTTACACTAACTATTATATCTGCAAACCAACTAGAAAGTTATCTATTTAAACTCTCTAATCATAATTTAATTCTATCTAGTAAAGTCTTCTAACTTGGTTACCCAAATTTATATATGCTTTAGAACTTACTAACTTGGTCTATCCTCAAGATAAACCCACCAAAGCCTTCTATAATCCACTTAGACTAACCCAGTACCACAGTTGCCAAGGCTTTAACTTGAAGTTGAAGTTACTGCTGTGCTATTATGAGGTTTACTTCAACCCTGGTATTTTCATTCAAATTTCTTTTTTCTTAAATTCTTAACTGATCTCTTTCTTACTTCTAGCTAGCAAACCAGAAGGGTTGGTCTTTCTCAAGTATTACTGCTCTATAGATATCTTCTTTTTGGTACATACTTCTAGAGCACATATCTTTTTTTTCTAGTTTTGGTGACCCAGCAGTTCAGCTAGAATGTCCTTTTTCCAGAACCTAGTTATTTGGTTCTCTTGTTTTGGTCTCTGGTTTCAAGTTTAGTCTTCTTGTATTAATATCAAAAGCTTTCACTACCTCCTCACTTGGGTCTTCTCAAACAGGTTTTTAGTTATCTCAGTTTTTTAGTTTTA